GCAGGTGGGGCTGAGCTGCCCCCTGCAGCTGCCTGGCAAGAGCCTTGGCCTCACCTCAACAAGAATGGAGAACTCTTCATCAGGGGTTTTAGTGATAGGACAAGAGGTTCAAACTTAAACATAGGAAGTTCAGGTTAGATATAAGGAAGAAGTTCTTCACAGTGAGGGTGGTGAGGCCCTCGAATGGGTTGCCCAAGGAAGTTGTGAATGCTCCAACGCTGGAGGCCTTTCCAACCCAAACCTTTCTATGATTTTATAATCCATTGGCTGCATCAGCAGCAGGACAGATAACTTTACTGGCTGATAAATTTTTATTCTCTTATTCCCTGTCCTGCAGACCTCTCAAATATGTTTGTTTCATTCCAAGTCTTGCATGTAGATGCAGGTGCAGCAATTAAAAAGAAACATCATATACTTTCAGTACCACAGTTATTGAATAGGTAGTTTATTTAGAAGAGAAATATTTGTTATCTCCTGGGGGCTTATCTCAACACTGACAGCACCGACAAGCAGGTTTTCATAATTTTTCAATAAATACCTGGTAGTTAGAAAAAATACGGGGATGTGAGAATGTCAGTCCTTTTCTCCCCCCTCCCCCCTTTTTTTTTTATTCTCCAGTATGTAACTACCTCAAGGACAAATCTAAGGGTTGCTTTGTCACAAAACCTTAATTTCCAGGTATTTCTGTGGTTTTGCAAATTCTAATTAATTTTGAAAAGTTCCTGTAGAAGTCAGTGGCAGAAATTGACAATATTTCAACCTGTTTTTTTTATCTTGCTACATTTGTATAATACAGTGATGCCATTGTTTTCTTTGCTTATGAGGTTATTTTGCCTTGCTTACCTTTCCGTTTCCATCCTTCCTCTAACTCTTCTAGATACAAACTGGCTGTGGAAATAATTTTCTCCCACCACCCGCCTGGGTTCTCAAATCCTTTCCATGCTTTTTGGAGGGTGAGATAAAAGGGTGCTGTTTTGGAGTGACCATGGTATTCTGTTCCAGTTCTTGTTGTGCCCTAATTGGACTCACTTGGCCTTCATAGCAGGATAGATTGGCCTACACAAAAAGTTACGCTGATGTAGTTTTCAGTACCTGAGGGGTATTTCTTAAAAATCACTAGTTTTCAGCTCGTTAAGTCTCCCAAATACATTTCCTTGTCAGCACCTTTGCAATTATCAAAGCTAACCTTGTATCTTCAGTATCTGAGAGTTGCATCCTGTTTCAGCAAATCTGACTTCCCTTTTCCTGTTTACCTCTATTATTAGTTGGGTTTTATTAATCTACTTTAGAAATTTTTCCTGCAAGTCTTTTTGTTAGTTTGGTTTTCTTTGGTTGTTGGTTTTGTTGGGTTTTTTTGTTGTTGTTGTTTTTCTTTTTACCCGCTCAATCTGTTTCTTTAATTTTAAGAGAATGCACTGATAGGAAAAGTTAACTAAGTTAATTCCTGCAGTGCTGGTTTTTTTTTTTTTTACTCCATCCATCTTGTGATAGATATGGCTGTAGCTTTAAGTTTTACATGCCTTCCGTTGTGCCAGTGTTCCATTTGTGTAGAAAACTAGGGAATGTGCATCTGAAGGAGAAAACAAATGTGCTTTATATCACTTTCATTTTATGTCAACTTTTGTTGCTTCCTGGTTTTGATTTGTTTGCACTTAACTGTTCAGTAACACTGATTAATTGTGCAGGCTTTGTGCCTTCTGTTTGTAGGCAAGCATTTTCAAGAGAGTACTGTCAGATAATGCAGGTCTGAAAGGTATGCCTGCAAAACTTGATACAGGGAATATTTTTCTGATATTTGTTTGTCATTAGAAATGTCTATTTCTATTTCAGTATTTATCAGAAGCATTTTAGATAGCTAGCACTTTGATTAAAGCTACTAGATATGTGCCATTCTATACACAGCGTCCATGTTGCGAAACTTCTTTACTCATGTCTACACTGTAGAAGCTAGGTGTACTTCCCAACTTCTCAGTGTGAATGTGCTTCTCAGCCAGCTTAGTATGACATCCAGGGAAGGAAGCACATCATGCAAGACAGACATAGCACAGCCCAGACTATAGCCCAATCTGGATGACTGAGACATGAGATTGTGCAGAGTACATGCTTCTCCCTTTAAACATAGCTTTAGAGTTAGACTGTGCAAGGCAGAAAAGGCAGTCAGTCATTGAGGGCAGTAATAATTTGTACAAAATGTACTGCATCCAGACCTGTGCAGTGTTTGTAACAGCAACTGTAGGTGTGTTTCATCACCTGTATTGCAGTAGCCTACTACTGCATGCCTCCAGTTCATCAAGTGTTCCTTATTGCTTGTTACCTTGCATCCTGTTCACCACTCTAAACCTGATTGTGTTTGCAGTAAACTGCTGTGATTATATAAAAGGAAGATTCTTCATCTCAGCTGAGGATAGAACAGCAGCTATAAATGGAAAGTTAAAAAGAGTTCAAACTTACGTATGTTATGCCTGGATATTTCTAATTAATAAAGAATTTCAACTCACTTGACAGGCCTGAGCTTTCACTGACTTTTTGAGTATTATGAAGTCTTGGTACCTTATGTTCAAAATCAATGGAAAAGATACTTTAAAAGCCTGGAAATACAAGTTTTTATATTCAGAGTATCAGTGAAGTGGTTGCTGAATATTCTTGGCTTACTGGTAGACATTCATCATCTTGGGAGACAGACATTTTTGAAAGGCATTATCAGAAGGGAGAAAGATTTGCTGTTTTTAGTTGCATAATTGCAAGAAAAAGTGGTGACCCAGAGAGAAATCCTGAAAACACTGTTTTCTTTCTTCGAATAATGAAAATACAGGAAGCAAGTGGGCTGAGTTTTAAATAGAGCTAAAATAATTCTGGAGGGTGACTGGAGTGTAATTCCCAGAAAAACAGGGCTTGGACCCCAGAGCTGATTCCTTGTGATTTATATTGGCCTTGAGCTAATAGACCACCTCACGAGAGGTTTTTTTTTTAATGACTTGGAAGCATAAATTATTAAATTAATTTTCTAGTTACAGTGCATTTGAGCTTTCTCTTTATGCATTTGTAAAAAAAATTACTGTTTCTGTATGTATTTCAGGAAGGAGAAGAAATACATAGATGAATGCTGGAAGAATGTCAATGTTGGGGACTTCATCCGGCTTTCACGTCCTGCTGACATGGTACTGTTATATTCTAGTGACCTGGATGGGATCTGCTACATTGAAACAGCAGGCCTTGATGGAGAAACCAATCTAAAGCAGAGGCAGGTGGTGAGAGGATATTCAGAGCAGGTGATTAATTGTGCATTTGTAGTGATGTAAGAAAGTTGACATGACAGTCAACTCAAAAAAAACCAAACTACACAGCCCTCTAGATTGCTAAAGTCTTGATAGCTCAGCAACCCCCATCTGAAAACAGAATAACTAGGTAAACCAGTACTAGTTTGTTGCTTGAGTTATTCTTCATATTCACTTAACCCAGAGAAAGAGAGATCTATTTCAAGTAACGGTAGCCAGTAAAAATAACTATTCAGGTAGAGTCCAGAAATAATTTATGGGTGCATATCATGTCATGGGTTCAATTTCTTAAAAGGGAGTTCTGTGCTGTATGAAGACCTAGAGAGAGAAGCACATACTGTCTTCTCTCTTCCACTGGGTTTTCATGTTGCAGACATATTTTTGTCTCCATAAAACACTTAGCGTTGTACCTAGCAGACAAAATACTGAAGGCTGGCAGAAAGAAGGTGATATCAAAAGAACAAAGAATCCTGGCATTTCTGCAACCCTCAGCACACCTAGTACTAAGTCCTGCTGCTGAAACAACATGCTGAAAACAACAGCAGGGAGCCTTTGTGCTGTCTATAATAACAGACTGTTTAGTCCTCTGGGGATAAAATTACCTGAGCTGCCTCTGAATTGTCAGCAGTGGTGAGAAAGTGAGGAGTACTACCTTGTGAGCATTAAGACTCCCCTGTTACTTAGCAACTATGGTAATACTGAAGATGTGATGTGATAGCCACAAACAAAGCTCTTTCTTATCCCCTTACAGCAACATGCATTTTTTTCATTCTTAATTTAATAACAGTAAGGCAGAAAAGACTGCTTGATTTTTCTGTATATACATATCATTATGTAAGGCAAAATTCAAATGGTTCTGCAGGCTTACATCATAGTGAGGTGGCCCTGATATCATACCAGCTCCTGCTATGAGGTCTGATTTCATTCTCACTCACAAAAGAGACTGTTTTCTCTGTTTCCAGAAATGTTGCACCAAAATGCTAGGAAGAGTCATATTGTCCAAAAAAAGTGACAATTCCTTTACCATTCAAAAATGCTAATTTTTTGTCGTCAAATAAAAAAAAATTAAACCCCCCCCCCCCAAAAGTCATTGTAGAGTCTTCTTGTCAGGACTGCATGGTTTCTGAATGTAGAGCCATGGTCAGCTTCACAGACCTCTGTGCCCTGCAAACTGAGTTTCAGCCAGAGGCTTTGTCCTTATAAACTCAGGCTGAGTAAGGCTGGCAGTGCTGTGTAAGAGGCATTACCCCAAATAGCATCCTGGTCATGGTATCGGGAATGATGGCAATGGCTGTTTGGAAGAATTTCTGCTTGCAGAGAAAACAGTATCTCTTTTTTTCCTTATCATGAAAAAACCCCTATGGGAAATTGCAAGAACAACTGCAATGCACTTTTTTTATTATCTTTTTTTTTCCCCTCGTTCTTCCACCCATTTTCTCCTCTCCAGTGTTCTCAAAATATCAGCAATTCAACTGACGTTTTCCAGGGCTTGATATTTAGTAATAAGTCCTTCCATGCTGTGTAAGTCTGATTTATGCTGGGTAACAAGCAGAACATCTACAACACTTTGAAACTTAAGAGTTTCAAAACTAAATTGTTAAATAGTTAAATTCATATGAATTTATAAGGTTTTTAAGTTCCATCACGTTTTGTCTGAATTCTCTGTTTGGGTTTTTTCCAATGGCTTTAGGTCTCTGAAATTGATCCAGAAAAATTCTCCAGTAGAATAGAGTGTGAAAGTCCTAACAATGACCTCAGTCGCTTCAGAGGCTTTGTGTAAGTAGACTTGTTGGCTCTTTAAAGTATTGTCATTTGCTTTGGTGCTCTTGCTAATTTTCAGAGAGCTTGTAATATTTGCTTTAAAAAATAATGACAATATTTATAGAAGGCAGCTTGCACCTCTGCATTTCTGAGTGCAGCCCAACAGACATAGCTCCAGAAGGGTTTTCTGAGCAGCAAATTGTGAACTGGGCAAGCCCACTAGCGCTTTTTGTTTTGTATTGAATATTTTCAGCTTCTTAGATCAGGCTATTTTGGAACTGTAGAGTCCATATTTGAAATAGCCATTTCAAATCTGCTCTTAATAACATGTGTTATCTACTGTATTTGGTCTGGACCATGGCCTGATTGGACTAGCTGCATTGCTCAGAAATGGAAATGGGAAGGACTGGCTTCCTCTCCTGCTCTGCTTTGTTTTGTGTAACCACCAGTGACTTGATCAAACTCCTTTCGACCAATGTGCCTATCCATGTATTGTCTTCTTACAGGTTTATGTTCTTCTGTAGACAGCAGGAAAACAAAATACTATTTCATGGGGTGACTTATTTTCAATTTTTGAGAGTTACAGTGTCTGTATTCTTCCCTGTGGACACTGACGCATTAGAAAAATGAAAAATAAATACATATAAATCTTATATATAAATCTTAGTCTCCGAGGAAACACTTTGGCAAAGAGTGGGCCTACCTTTACTGAAAGTATGCCACAAGAGTAGTGATGCTTACAGTATATTTAAAATGGGATTTTATATTGTTCAGTTTTCTTCTGATGTTGGCAATCCAAATAGAAGTCTTAGGCTTTCGGACTTCTAGTGTTTGTTTTGAGCTCTTTTAAATAGTATTGCATACTTATGCTTGTAAACAAAAGAAGATTTTAATACAGTGCCTTCATTGCTGGATTTTCAGAGGTGATCTGCATGCATGTTACCCCCTTCTTTTGAAAAGTCCAATTGGAAATGTCAGAATGGCTGTCAGAGATTAGAAGCTTCTCTGGGAAATCTGCTTCCTAATGATTTTGCAAAGCCTGGCTGGTAATTACTAGAGCTGAAATAATGTACTTTTTTTTTTTTTTCTCAGTGAACATTCAAACAAGGATCGAGTGGGTCTCAGCAAGGAAAACTTACTGCTCCGAGGATGCACAGTGAGAAACACAGAAGCTGTTGTAGGCATAGTGGTATACGCAGGTTAGTGAACCACACTGGCGCTCACATACTGCTTTGCAAACAAGATAAGAGTTACGTGCCCTAAGACACAGTATCATACATACAGGAATTAGGAGCGTGAAAGCTTGAGTCCAGCTAAAGGCAGCTGTAGCTAGAAATGTTAAGAATGCATATCTGGATTAAGTTTATGTCTGTTTTAAGGATGTAAAGAACTGATGTATCTGATTATTCATGGAAGGGCAGCTCTTTTCTGTGTGAACAGGCCCTTGTCCTCAACTGTTAGTAAACCCAGATTTGGAAATAGACATGGAGATGAGTGGCTTGCTTAGGGGTTTTTTTATGGTCCAAAACTGAAGCTAGTGCTCTTATTCCATCTTCTGTATTAAAGGGTAGGGTTTTTAAACTAATCAATAAGATTAATCCAGATAGTTGTAATACAGGTGCAGGATATTGTAGAAAATATAAATAATGGAGAAAATGTCAAGAATGAGATAATTTCTGCAGGAAGGAATACTGTAGACAGTATAAAAGTTAATGTGTACGTGACAGATTTTGGTTTAGCTTGTTCAGTTTTCTTTAGAACAGAATTCATATATTGTAGGAGCAGTTAGTTTGCTCATATTTACAATCTCTGTTCAAATATTGGTTTATAGAAACGTCTTGTTTCTCAGACCTTTAGAAATGCAAAGATACCTGCTATTAGATACCTGATTCTGATACCTGCTATTAGAAAATTTCAACCTGTGTTGTGGTTACAGGACATGAAACCAAAGCCATGCTGAATAACAGTGGCCCTCATTACAAGCGCAGTAAATTGGAAAGAAAAGTGAACACTGATATTCTTTGGTGTGTTCTGCTTCTAATCTTGATGTGTTTAACTGGTGCAATTGGTAAGTAAGAATCAGTAAACTCCTATTTTCCTCTCACAGCCTATAATGCTTGGTGTTTATTTTGGGGCTGATTCATTTTAACAGCACATGTCAGAAGGTGCCTTTATCCAAGCATAATTCTCTAGCAGCTGGGGATGCTGCTAGGTTTTAGTTCGTGTTGTCATGTTTAATCTGGAGTGTGGTCAAGAGGTATGTTCCTGGTGTGAGTTTGTAAGTCTGGAACCTGTTCCTGCAATTGATGTCTCCTTTCTCTGGTTGATTTGTCTTTTCTCTCAGTAATTCCTCTGCAAAACTCCTACTTTCTTTTTGGATTTTTCAGGTAACATGAGGTATATGTACAGCATTATGGAGAGAGGCCTAGTGTGACTTGAGTTGTAAGGACTTGGTATTCTAGGGATTGATTAAATAGTGAGCTTGAGTAAATCTAAACAAGCTAACTTTTATGACAAATCAAAAGGTGTTTAAAACATGTATAAAAAAACTTCTTCAGACTACACTTAATAACAATGATGTGTTCACATGTTAACTAAAACCTGGACAAGCAAGGATAATACAATTAATTGTCAGAGGTTTTTCTGCAGGAAAAAAGAGTGTTAGTATTCCTCTAGTTCTGAGATACGCTGTATAGATGTCCTGTTGATAGAAATGCATGTATTTATTCAGATGTACATTGATACTTAATTTTTCTGCTGAGGAAAAAAATCAAGAGATAAAATGGTATTTTAAAAGTGTAGCAAGAACTGCAGAGTATAACACCTAACACTATGATCCTGAGCTGTAATACAGTTTATATACAACTGACTCACTTTATCTTGCTCTCATTTTCAAGGCCATGGAATTTGGTTAAGTAGGTATTCAGAAGTACCCTTTTTTACCATCCCTGAGCCAGATGGGAAATCGATTCCTCCAACATTAGCAGGGTTCAATATGTTCTGGACGATGATCATCCTATTACAGGTAACTTTGGTCTGCTTGTTGGTCATATTCTGATCTCATTCATATCCTTGATGTAACTCTTCAGCTTCAGTAGAGCTACTTCATGTTTGTAACTCGCTAAAGAGTTTGGTTTTATTTAATCCCCGTATTTTGTTTTGGTAGGTCTTGATCCCAATTTCTCTCTATGTTTCAATTGAAATTGTCAAATTGGGACAAATTTATTTAATACAGAATGACATTGATTTTTACCATGAGAAAACAGACTCAACAATTCAGTGTCGAGCACTGAATATTGCTGAAGACCTTGGCCAGATTCAGTATATCTTCTCTGACAAGACTGGAACCCTCACTGAAAATAAAATGGTTTTTCGGAGGTGCAGCATTGCAGGACAGGAGTATTGCCATGAGGAAAATGGTAAGACACTAAACCTGTGTTCACAGTGAGTCATTTTTCTCTTCTGAGAAGCTGAAAGTTTTGATAGAGGTCCAGTAGACTTCATGAGGTTTACGTGGCATTACACACTCACAGAAGATAAGAATTCAGACTGATCCTACCGATAGCCATGTGTCTTTTCGCATTATTTAGATATGCAGTGTGTTAAAAGACTTTAAGGCTGGATGTAAGGTGTTGCTTTGCAGCTAGTTAAGTTTCAATGTATTTGATACCACAAACAAAATATTCTTTACTCACTGTGGAAGAAGTCATGCCTACTGTGTTTTGCTTCTTTCCTTGCAATATTCGGAACCCAGAACATTGGAAAATACCTATCTAGTCTTCCCTTTTTTTTTTTTTTTTGTTAACTAGAGTGCCAATGCTTACCACATTTTACGGTTCAGACGTCTGTTGGCTGCCACAGCACCTTTATGTAGTCTATCTTAAGGCTCCAATTTACCATACTGTTGTCCTTTAGGATACAGTAACCCAAATAAAATACATAAAAAATTAGAGCTTTAACAGTAATGCTTAAGTACAAGTCAAGCAGATGTGTGTACATGTGTGTGTTAAGTACCCCCATCAAAAATAATGACTGTTGTATTCTTACATCTCACACACCTGTTTGTTGTTAGCCAAAAAGCCAGCAAGCAGTGTTTTGGGATAGTTGCTGTCTCACTGTCTAATAGTATAGCATCTTTCAATATACCTTTCATGAGAGGCCGCTTAAAGCTTTCTAGTAGCCCAGAGAAGATACAGGTCCAGGCAAAAGAGAAAAGTGGGCAGAGTGACATGAAGTCTTTGATTCCGTTATCTGTTTTATTAATTAGATAAAACGACAAAGTTCTTACTGCTGTTACTATATACAGTGGCTGTGGACATTTGCTATTTTGCTGGTGGGCAATGCAAGATACGAGATCAAAGTTAGGTGCTGACAGGCGGACACATGCAGCACAGCTGTGTATTAAACTCCCCCTTGGGGTTTTGGTGGTTTTGCTGCCAGATAGATCTGCTCAAAACTGCGAGCAAAAGGCACACCCTGCTGGCCACAGTATGAATCAGTTCGGCCCTTCTGTTGTGTCGCAGGAGCAGATGGTTACAGACCATTTGTTCAGTAATTTCTGCACATATTTTGAAAATCTGAAGATGTGCCTGTCCAGGTGCTTATTTGGCTTCGCATAATTATACTGGGAAGGATGACAACAGTAAAGTGAGGAGAAATTTTTTTGAGGTTTGAACTTGGTGAATGAACAACTTAAATAAAAAGTAGAATATATTTTTAGAGTCCTGTCTTTTACCTGGAGGGTAAGCATGTGCTTCTTCCTAACAATCTAGAAATTATGTGAGCCCTGAAAATCAGTTTGAAAAATGTTGGAAGTCCTGTATTTCATTTCTGTTTAACATTTGTTTAGTTGCAGAGAGCTGCTATTTGCAAGGCTCCTGCTACATATAGTAAGAGTTGCACTGCAAGACAGTACAGTCTTTTGCATACAAGCCACTTAGTCTTTATATGTATTTCTGTATTGATATCTGTATTGCCCAGGTTAAAGCGGTGCACATGAGGGAAGCACACAAAAACAATGACTGTGATTCAGTATAATCGTTCAAATAGGTGCCCCAGGCAGTTCTGTGTAACATAACTTGTGCCTTTTTGACCATGGCAGCAGAGCAGTGTGCTGTTATTAAGAGGTCCACAAATGTTACTTCAGACAGAGTATGCAGGCTTCTCAACAGCCTGGGAGGAAAGCAGAATGGGCATGTGTTGTTCAAACCTGCTTTTACAAACACGTACTAAGTCACTGTTGCTGCTTTCTGGTAAAAGGTATCAGTACCACATGTGGGATACTGTATTTGGTAGTTGTAGAGAGCTAGTTTGTTACATTCCCACGTATCTTTTCAGTAACAAAAATGTGTTGTTAAATTCATGTTGACATCGTGGAGATGGCCTTCCAAGGAAAGTGTGAGCTCTGGTCTCCCTGCTTTCCTGGACTAACCAGAATAGCAGGATGAGGGACAGGAGGCTTTCATTTATGTTCCAGAAACAGAATAAAGCAGGAAATAAAAAGAACTTAACAGGATAGAAAACTCAGTAACTCACTTCCTGAACATAGCTGAGTTCCTGTGCTTTGGCTGGGAGGAAAAGGACTCACAAGTGACATAATAAACTTATTTCCATCTCATTCTGACACCAGAGCTGGAGACAAAACTGTGAATAGGTTTCCCATTTGCATAAAAGAGAATAATATCACACTGTTCACTTCTTTCCTGTAAAGTAGCTGCCAATTTAAGTAAGAAAAAAATAGGGAATTAGTGTTGTTGCAGATGTCTGTATGTTAATACTGTTCTTTACCTAAGATGCCATCGTTTGTATTCACACTTTAATGAAATATACAGGCAATTCATACCTCTCAGAACAATTGTTCCATGCTGTTTGTGGATGCAGACATTGAACTGCTAGTTTATGTTCATTGCATGCTATTTTCACAGTGACAGGTAAAAACTTGAAAGCTGAATAGCATACAGTGATCCACTGCTGTCTGGATTGAGATTACAGCCTCTTGCATGTGATTCAACACTGTCCCAGCACTCCAGCACAAACACTTGAGTATGTTCTTAACAAGCACATGGTATCTTAGGCAATGTTTCCATTTGCTACAGAGGTTCTTTACACCACTGATCTTCCTAGCCAGATTTGTGAGGCACAGAACTGCATTTATATCTTTGGTGCAAAGGTGTTAGACATGTCAATATGACGTTTTATTATTTAAACCTTCTTTTCAATTAAATACTCAGCAAATGTGTGTGTGAGGGGGTATCCAATACAGAAATGATTGTTTCAGTGACTTCCTGCTAGAAGCTGTACTTACCAAACCACCAGCATACAGTCCTGATCCATCATCAAATAATTAAGTTAAAAAACTTATCAGGAGGTAATCTGGTCCCATTTCTCTGGGCTAAGGCAGAGTTGTTGCTATCATTCTTTATGAATTGTTTGTTTGTTTGTTTCTTCAGAACCTCCAGTGAAGCCCAGTTCAGTGCATTCTCGAGCATTCTGTTCTAGTATGTCACATCATCTCTGACAGAGTTTCGCTGACACCTGGCCCGAGTCTGTTACTATCTAGGGCCATTATTATCCACAGCATGCATAAAAAACAGTCTATTTCCTTTTCTCTGTGCATCTGCCCTTCATGTGCTTGAAGACTATTATTTGGCTCCCATCAGCTTGCCCTTCTGGAGGCTGCGTAACTCCAATTTATTTTACTGTTTCCATGTAGATTGTGTTGTCTAGAACCCTGATCATTCTTGCTCCCTCTTCTGGATTCACTCTAGAATCCAGAAGTGTGGCTCTTGAAGTGCAGTGTCTCAAACAGAAAGTGAGCCTGGTGATTTATTACGGGTTTTGTTTTTCATAAATAACTGTATACTAAATTCTTACTTTAAAAATTTGTTTCCTGAACCTCCAAGCAGTGTTTTAGACAGGTTTCTTCCTGCTCATGGAACAATAATTTTGTTTCCCTTTCCATAGCAAAAAGGCTGGAATCCTATCAAGAAGTGGATTCAGAGGATGAGGATTCAGCTGATCATCAGTGTGGCTCTTCAATGCGTATGTCAAAATGGCAGGGGCACGACTGCAGAGCTGTGAATGAACCTTTGAACAAAAAGCCTTTGAATTTGTTGTCTGGTAGTCATTCTGCATTAGGAAGGGAAGATGGAGCAGGTGATGTTCCCCCTTCAGGACATGTTGCTTTCAGCAGTCCAATTGTAAGTAAAAGCTGTAGGTTTTGATGCTAAATTTCCACAGTAACTCATGAAGGAATATCTTTTTACTATTTGAGAAATCCTTTCCCTCTTGATCAAAACCAGAGCCTCCCATGATTGCTTGGCAGCATCCTATTTGCACAGATGTTTGTTGGGTCATGAAGGTGTATGCTTTAGTTCTTGCTGCTGTGAGTCCATGATCACTCCAGCTAAAATGACCAGCTTCATCTTAATAACAGTTTTTTCTTTGTTTTAAGAGGTTTGTAGCATTTTCTGATTTTAATGGGAAATATCTGGATGACCAATATTTATTGGAGGTTGTAGAGGCAAAAACTCAGCTTCTCTACCTGAAGATGTCTAATTAGCATTCATCATACATAATCTCATTTGAAGTGTCTGTGAACTATGGCTTTATTGTTTACCTATCTGGGCATGAAGTTTGCCATTTTCAGTGGTCTAACAGAAGGCCATGAAGACACCAGAGTGTTATTCTATTTCATCTGTAAATGATTTAACCTCCAGAGACTGAGATTGAATTTAAAAGCTCATGGACAGTTTTGTTCATTTCATCAATAGGAAACAGATGTTGTACCAGATGCACAACTGTTGAAGAAATTCAGTCAAATTTCTTCTCATTCCTATGATCAATCAGAAGCTAGCAGCAAGTTATCTCTGGAGACAATGTACATCACTGACTTCTTTCTTGCTCTGGCAATCTGTAATACTGTGGTAGTTTCAGTCCCCAATCAGCGACGTCAGAAGGTAACAAGGTCTAATTTTTGGCTATTTGGCTATATTTGTAAAGAAATGAGTTCCCTTTGGTTTGATTACAAAAGGAAAAAACAATTAACTGACATTTAAAAAATGACATTTAAAAAATTATCCTTTTCTCTTCTATTGGTGTGTTGTCTTAGAAAGATGGGAATTACTGTAAACCCACAAAGTGCAATGAGTTATTGTGTAATTTAATGCTGGTAGTATTTTTCAGCAGAAAAACTTGGCTTCAATATTTTTGCTTTTGTGTATAGACAGTTCATAACTTTTACAAGACAAATTTTGAGATTAAATTGAAGTTGTGTTCAATTCTGTATTCTAGTTACATTTTTCTAGATATGTGCACAGAGTACCCCAACACTCAGGTTACTTTTACGAATAGGTCATTATTGGCTGAAAGATAAGAATAATCTCAGAAGACTCCCAGAATATTGAAATTGCGAATGGTCTTACCCATTCCCTGACTATTCAGATAGAGTTTCAGCAAAAGTGTGGAAGGTCAAGTTTCATATATGTCATAATCTGAAGAAAAAATGCTTTGCAGTATGGCATGAAGTGGTCTCACAGTGCATTTGCTAGGCTGTCCTGGTTTAATGGTCTGGAGTGTGTTTAAGTATTCTTGAGACCTGTTGTTTTCAGAGCACACAACCTAACGTTTTTTAAAAGGTACTAATATCTTTTTCAACCCCCCCCCCCCCCCAAATGGGATTTTCATAAGCCCTCTTTTACGAATTTTGGCTGTCTTGCAGCAGGGTAATTCCCAAGTTTAGCTTTGATTTTCTTCCCCCTCCCTGTCCCCTGGTGATTTCCATTCATTGACTTTGATTTTGGTGTCCATCTAGGCAGTGAACATGCAACCATGGCTAGAGATGTTACCAAAAGGTATCCTGTGTAGTATAAAGTACCTCTTATGTATAAATGAGAGTGGTATTTTAGTGCGCTTCCAGCAGGCATCCCCAGAAAGCGTAGCAGGCAGTCTACAGGTCCATGTGTGGGTGGGGCACCTGTGTTCATAGTTACTAATCAGTCATTCCCTAAAGGTGATCTAGAAAAAAATACAGGCAGGATTCTTGTTTTTTTGAGAATCATATTTCTGGATGACTTGCTCGCAGGGGAGATGATCTCCAGGTCACTAGTAGGTAGCTCAGGAGGGGCAATGTGGCATGAGGTTTCTCAGTTCATGCGAAATGACAGGGGAGATCAAGGCAGTGGAAGTTTTCAGTGTTGCCTTAGAAAGAGGCAGTGAAAGGATGTTCCTAGTCTCTATTTCCAGGATGCTGAATGCAGATACATTACAACTTGTGTGCAGTTGTGGTAGAACTGAAGCCAGAGTCTGTCCTTGCTTTATGCTTTTCAGTGGCAAAGGAGGACATGCTTCCTGATGACAACTCGCTCTAAACTCTTACCCAGTAACAAGAATTTAGTAACAAGCTTGTGTGCCTTGTTCCTTGTTTCTAAGATATTAGCTGCCTGACTGTTCCGAGAAACAATAATTGTTTTGTAACATCTGTGAGAAAGGAACTGTCTTTTGTTTTAAATTCAGACATTAAAGAAGTAACGATATGAAGTATTGTATTTTTTTTAGCTAGTTACGCTAGGAGGTATGGAGTTGCTTTATTCTTCACAAATAGCTTGCTAATTCAGAACAAGAATTAAAGTGTTTAGTTCCATTTGCCGCAAGTTTTAAAAGTTAAGTCATACTAATGTTTGCATTATCGAAACAGTTTTAAAGAAGAGTTTCAAATCAAACTTTGAATGCATGTGGTTTTCAGATCTGAATTATTTTACAATACTTTTGGTTTGAATAATGAAGCTCTTCCAGAAGCTGGTTAGTGAACTCATATGGTTATATGTTTAATTGAGCTGACCATCTTTAATACAAGCAATCAAACTCATGATAAATTTTAAAACACTACATTAATTAAGAAACATACATAGTTTGTAAGCTGTCCTTCAATTTAGTAAAATACAAAGAATTTAACATAAATGCTTTCTCTAACTGTTTGTTCCAGATGAGAATGTCTTCGCTGGGTAGGATGCCTATTAAATCACTTGAGGAAATCAGGCAGATGTTCCAGAGATTGTCAGTCCGGAGACTAAGTTCTTCCCCACTTCCAAGTGTGAAAGAGTCATCATCTGAAAGCCCCAGTAGTTTTGTGAGCAAACTATCTATTTTCAGAATGAAAATGGCTTCACCTGCTTTGGATGGAACTGCTCAAAGGGCTGCTGAGCCTCACAATATGGACAGCCCAGAGAATTCACAAGTGCCTCAAGAACTAGATATGGTGAATGTAGCTGCTGGCTGTGAACGCAACAGTGCTACATCATCTATTGAATTGTCTCCCTTACCTAAACTTTGTTATGAAGCTGAGAGTCCAGATGAAGCTGCCTTAGTTCATGCTGCTAGGGCTTATAGATGTATTTTACAGTCTAGGACTCCAGATCAAGTAACTGTGGACTTCGCAGGTCTGGGATCTTTAACGTTTCAGCTTTTGCATATCCTGCCTTTTGATTCAGTGCGGAAAAGGATGTCAGTGGTGGTTCGGCATCCAGTCTCCAACAAAGTGGTGGTTTACACAAAAGGTGCAGACTCGGTCATGATGGATTTATTGAGAACTGCATCTGAAGGTATGTTCAGATTTTTAATTCTTTTCTCACCTTTATCATTCTTCAGTACAGTTGAACAGATGACCAGGTTCATGAGAAGAGACAAGTAACCAAGCAGAACTATTTTCTATGAACAGTGCCTTATAGCAAACTGAGAAAGGTAGTATTGCTTGTCACCTAGATATGACTGTGCTGCATGCTGGTGTGGAAACTAAGAAGAGAGAAGCAGCTCTTATTCAAAGGATTTAGTCATGTCTAAGCAGACCCTTTGGAGAGAGTCTGAAGTATTTCCAGTTACAAAGTAAGGCCACCTGCTTGAATAGGTGGCATCTGCTACACAGCAAGAGGTGTTTATTAGAGTGAGATGCTTTCTAGTCTTTGCCTATGTTAGTGTTTCTGAGCTGTTCGAGAGAGGTATCAGTTGCAGATGTCACCAGTCAGTGCTTTTTTGAGTTTTTTTTCCCTTTGATTACTGACTATTTCTGTGTTTCTATGTGTAATAATAATATCTATAAAGTGTGTGGTGCCTTCTGATGGGCCCTGTTTTTAGGGGGTAAACGTTGTTTGAATGGACCATTGGAGGGATGCACCATGTTTAAGTACTAACTGATTTGTTCATACACTAGTGAACAGTCATTGATTTTTAACTGAAGGCGGTAAAGAGAAAGTATTATCTGCGTATGTTAGAAATAAATACCTAAATATACTTAAGTTCACAAGATGTTCCAGGTGTTTGGGGTTTTTTTTATGGTTTTGAAAGTAATATAAGGAATTATTTTTAACGGCTTGCTTTCTGCAAAAAGGAGTTTGGTTTGTATGTTCTGTGACTGGCTGATCTCAGTAAGGAAGAGGGGTATTTCCAGTTCCAAGTGTGGATTTTAACCAACATTAGCTTTCTAAAGTCTAGACCTCATGGCCTCTGTAGGCCATGGGGCAGAAGTGGTACCTCCAAAATCTGTCATCTTACTAGGGGTAATTTTATGTCTTGAGGTGCCTTTCCTTACTTAGATTCTCAAGATAAGCTTGGAACCTAACTTCTACATGTCTGAAGTCAGGTGAGTTGAATGCCTGTCTGAATAGCCCGCCCCTTAACAGTTGTTTTTAAAAAAGCTTTTCTGCAACTGCCCTTTTAGCTCCCTCCCACTAGACCAGTGACAGTAAAGCTGTTTGGGTGTCTGTGACCCAGTTCATTTTAGAAAATTATGTTACTTTAGAAAAACATTTTGATACACTGCTGGCATCCAAAGATATATCAGTACCAGATAGGTTCCCCCTCACTGCTGGTGCCAACTGCTCTCTATAGATACAGCCACAGCACATCGTGCAAACATGAAGGTACTTTCACAGGTAAAACAAAGTCTGATAATATTTTGGTATTTTAAAAACTTACTTAGACCTTCAAAATTTTGTGCTAAATTTAGCCTAAGAATGCATATTTAAGTTGCTTTCTTTGCTTTTTGTGTAATACTAGATACTAATAATTCAGAAATGGAACAAAAGAAGATTAAAGCGAGAACTCAGAAGCATTTGGATGACTATGCCAGGAGAGGACTTCGCACTCTGTGTATTGCTAAGAAGGTAACGCATTTGATACATATTTTTAGGAATGTCTGTGACCAATCTGAGTGGTCCAGTGGAGCAGACACTTTCTAAACAGATGCTTCCATTGCCACGTTTTGTTTATCCTTATATTCTTTTAGGAGGAATTTGTAAGTTGACCCAAATAAATTCCTGACTTCTGTTAGCTTGCCATAGTTGTCTGTCAGCTTAGGATGCCAAGCAGCTTAATAGCTTAATTCTAAGACAGGGGTTGTCAAATAGTGTGGTTTTAATTCCAGAATCCTGAGTGAAACTTGCCCTGGTTGGAATTCCAGACACAGGAAACAAATAAAGACAGACCTAGTTTATTTGGTTTCACAAGCAGTTTGCAGTGTTATAAGCTCAGGATGCAATACTTAGGCGATATTTTGAGATTCCATTTTAAATTCAAAGCTGCTCAGAAGTAAAATTTGATAGGGATTGAAACAGGTAAGAAACCTCTTTACAAAGCCTTATACAAAGTGAAAGTACTTGCTGTGTAGCTGTACAATCATCAAATTGTACACAGCTGTACAGTGATTCTATGGCTGCATCAAAGGTGCAACTAAAGAGCAGTAGGGAGAGTATACTATGCTTGTTGGCCTGCCTTCCATCTCAGTGGAAGGCTGTCAGGCAGCTCCAGGAACCTGCAGGGTGCCAGTGAGTAACCTGGTTTGTAAAGCCTGGCAAAGTAATCTAACACTATGGCATTGTACTAAATCCATGAACATGTTGGGGCATTTAAGACAGCAAAGTAACTGTGAGGTGCCTTTCAAAACACAGTATAGATACATTCTGTATGTTTTCTCTCCCTCTGTAGGCGATGAGTGATGCAGAATATGCAGAGTGGTTAAATCACCACTTTTTAGCAGAAACCAGTATTGACAATAGGGAGGAGCTGCTGCTTGAATCTGCCATCAGGCTTGAGACCGAACTAACTTTGCTCGGTAGGTAGAGAATGCTATAGCTCCCAGGAAACTGCTTATGGTATTCATAGTTGGAATTTACTTGCTAACCTCAGTTTGTGTAACACATAGCTTGCTACAGGCCTAGAATATATTGTCATTCCTGAATTTCCATAAATCTTGCTGGTAACTTTGTACTAGTTGTAAAACACGCTGAAGACAGCAAGTGTTCTGTGTTTGTAAAGGGTGAAGTTTTAGTAATTGTTATTTTTTTTTTTTTTTAATGTGGTTTATTTTTTGTGCTCACCAGATTTTTTAAGTGTCATCATAATAAGCACAAGAAGTGATAGTAACAAATCAAAGGCCTGCTTGGGTAAACATACACAGGGATCTCACTTCTGGCCATGTTTTCCGTCACTGTTGCGTCTGGCACAGTGGGTATGCTTGTGCTGTGTCCTCCTGTAATAACATGGAAATAAGAAGTCAGGCATGCTTTTTCAGGAACCATTCCTCTGGTGGTCATTCAACTGTATAGAAATGAAGAGGCCAAGATGAAATTAAAAATGTTTGGTATAGATGTGTAAAAGGTAAACTGCAGGGAGTATGGGATAATAGCTCCACAGGACTGCCCAGCAAATAACATTTGGAAAACAAAATGCAAAGATCTGACTGACTGTGATGGTAAAGGCAGCTTATGCTAGAAGCTGAAGAGGGACATATTTTATTGTGTGGAAAGGTGTTACTCCATTCTGTGCTGTCTGCTCAGTGCAAATACCATAAATGCCTTAGTACTAAAAGGAGAGTTAAGCGTATAGACTGCCCGCATTGAAAGAACATTTTTCTTTCTTCCCTCAATGCTTGACAATGTCTCTCAAAGCAGTTTGCATCAAATAGATCCCAGCATCTTCTTTTCTGTCACTTTTGTTTACTTGCATCAAAATGCAGGCAGAGTGCAGAGCAAGGACCTGGATGTTTTTGTCTTCCCAGGGGCCATGAGCTCTGTGCAGTGTTGGCAGCTACTAAAGGAAGAAATTGCTATAGCATTAGAAATTTGGTTGACCTTTTGGCTCTTATCCATCCCCATGTGACAGTGCTTTGTATTCAAATTGCTGGCTACAGGCCCGCACTAGAAACATGCTAGGAGGGAAACTTTTGCTTTGAAATTTTATTGTTTGTCTTTCAGAATGAACCTAGCTTCAAGTGTCTGAAGTTTCTTTCTGAGAAATTCTCTTAGCCTGAGAATCCCACACGACAAACCATGTCTTCTGGTTATAATTTAGTACTATTTGTGTTGTGAAAAAGCAATGAAAATGTCCTGTACCATAGTAAATCACTGGCACTGCAGCTTTTTAGAGTTGATTCTGTTTTATGCTGATATTATGTTACCTCATTTTTACTAGAAGATTTTGTTAAGCTGGTTTCAGGGACACTGGTCTGCCTGCTGTGCACACCAGAAAAAAGGATATCTCTCTTAAAGTCTCTGTATTTTTTTTGTTGAAAGTCTTTCTTTAACCTCTAGTGGTTGTTAGAGCAGGCATTTCCTTCCTGTGGGAGACATAGCAAGGTTGGTTAGTGCAGGCAGGAGGAAAGGCAAACATAGAGCTTAGTAGTATGAATTGAAAGGACCTGTGACAGCAGGTACTGCAGCAATGAGTAGGGAAACCTGATGATGAATGGAAGGTCTTTGCAGCAGTATGCAAAAACATGACATAAGAAGAGGGGATTTTGGTGTGGAAAAGGTGAGGGCTTGGGACAAGTGGTACACAGAATTCGGCTTCGGACAAGAAGTACACAGAATTCAGCTTGGGGAGCAGAGCTGAGGATAAGGAAGTGGAGTGGGCCTTGAGATAGGAAGGATTGAGGTGATACATGAAAGAAGGTTTGGGGTAGTCTGGGGTGGGAGGAACTGAGAATAATGGAGTATATTTGTCATGAGAAGCCTGGGAGTCTGTGTCTTACGACTACTAGGGAATGTAACAATTGTGAGAATGAGAAAAGTTGGCTTAAAAGGCTCTTCTGAAGAGTTGGAGGTCCCCAAAGCTGTAACCAGGGTGTGTGTCAAGTCTCACATGTGATGAGCTCTTGGACAGAAAGATGTGGAAGGGAGAAATTCCCAAGCATATCCCAGTAGGGTATCTTGTTTTGGGATGTGGATACATGCAGAGGACTATCTTGTCCTGTCACTCTTGCAGTACTTTGGTTTTGGAAATACAGTAGCACTAATCTTTGTCTAAATTAAGGGGCCACTGGCATTGAAGATCGCCTGCAGGAGGGTGTTCCAGACACAATACAAGCCTTACGGAAAGCGGGAATAAAAATATGGATGCTGACAGGTGACAAGAGAGAGACAGCTGTCAACATTGCTTATGCTTGTAAACTGCTGGAACCAGATGACAGAATCTTCACTCTCAAGTCACAGAATAAGGTGAATGGAAAGTTACGCTTTTCTTCATGTTATGTGTTGGGGTGTTTTTTTTCTCCACTGAAAAATTCAGCCAGGCTGTGTCACAGGGCAGTACAGAACAATAAAATGTGCTCTGCTTTCCCAACCAACTGAGGACAGCATGATTTCCTGGAAGATGAAAATACTGGAAAACTGGCAGTTTGCTTCCTTGCGGTTAAAATATTAAATCCTTTATATGTACGTATCATTGGTTTCTTTATATACAGTCCCTAAATTGTGCTTAATTATTTTAATTGAATAAACTGCTTCATTTCTTTTTGTGGTGGTTTAGAGAGTTGACATGCCTCAAGTTGCATCAGGGGAGGTTTAGTTTGGATATTAGGAAAGATGGCTTCACTGAAAAGTTGGTCAAGTGTTGGAACAGGCTGCCTAGGAATGTGGCTGCGACACTATACCTGGAAGTATTTAAGAGACATGTAGATGTGGTGCTCAGGGGCATGGTTTGGTGGTGGACTTGGCAGTGCTGGGTTAACGGTTGGACTCAATGATCTTAAAGGTTTTTTCCAACCTAAATGATTCTACTGTTCTATGTTACTGGAGATTTCAGATGGCTGTGAGTTACAGTATATTAGCAATGTAAGAATTAAGGTCATGTAAATTCTGTTGTATTAAGATTTACGTTGCTTTGTGTAAAATACTCCCTCAGCCCTGCTTGTCTTGCATGAATGTTCAAAGAATTGTCTCATGAAACTATATCGTAAACCATTCAAGAAAACTAATCTGCCAACAATTTTTTCAGAGAAAAAGCTGCCTTCTCCCCACCACCCAGTAATTCAGTCATTGATAAAGAGTGGTTAAAACTGTTGCTGGTTTGGGTGGCAAGTTTAATCCTATTTGATTGTTGTGTCCTTTTGTGGATGATAATAACCAGAAGGTTTTTGAATCTTGATTTTGATCAGGGTTCTTAAGAGAGAGATTACTAACTGTAACTGGTAATCCAACATATGAATTGTCCCGTCTCAGAGCAGAGGCGTGAAATCTGAGACTTCTCTAAAGGACTGGAGGATTCTTCTAAGACCTTTCATATTTCTTTTTTATTCTGTTTATATGTTATTTTAGAAATTCAGTTTGTACCTGCCATAAAAGTAGTGTGGCGAGTGGCAACTGCAGGGAAAATAAAGTGAAAGGATTTTTAGTCCAGTTGTGTTAGAGGAAAGCTTGGGGTTTGGTTTTTGCTAACACTTTTTTCTTCCTTTTTTCCTCCTTTTTTCCTTCAGGGGAATGAGTGTCTTACTTAACAGTAAGAACTGAGTCCCCTTTGCAGAAGTGCTCATCCTCTCTCTAACTCCCTCTAACTAGGCTTTGACATAAAAAATAGGCAGTATTCGATATCGTTGCATTTCAAAGAAAAATAGCGAGAAGATTTAAGAACACGTATTTTCTTCTATATATCTATATAATATATGTAATGCGCATGCATTACATTTATTGATACTAAGAATCTTTTGGGCCTCTTATATTGATTCTGACGAGGTAAAAAATTCCACAAGGTCAGTTCTTCAGTAATTCATTGCAGCTCACCTATAATCTGATCTGAAATGCACTTTTGGCTTTGCATGCCAGACAAAAGAAATGTAGAGAGCAAAAGTCTTCTATCAAAGCTGTATTTATTTTACAGAATCCTTAACATTTTTCTTTTTTCTGCTAGTCTTATGAACATTTTCTGATTTGCTTTGGTTTTTTCCCTTCTAGTACAATACCCAATACAACCTACTTAGCAAAGTTAAATCACAGGCCCTTTTATTAACAACAGACTGCATTCTTTGTGATTTTATTTAAAGAGTTCTTCAGCCTCATGTCTGAGCCTTTCTTTATTCAAGTGAAATGCTACACAAGGGCAGCATCTGACTTTTTCTCCATATGTATTTCATAAATTGGAAAGGGAGCCACAACACAGACAGTATTTTAATAAGTTGCCTTACTCTTGTCTTTGATTAGGATGCCTGTGCCTTGGTGATGAGCAAAATTTTAGAAGGCATCCAGAAGAATACATCTAAAAAACAACCCAGTCAGAAGCTCGGGAATGTCTCTGCAAGTTTCTTCACCCACTCTCCAGGGTTCAGTGCAGGCCTCATTATTGATGGAAGGACTTTGGAGCATGTCCTTCATGACAGCCTACAGAATATTTTCTTGGAACTCACAGAAAAATGTCGGGCTGTAGTCTGCTGCAGAGCCACACCACTGCAGAAGAGTGTCCTGGTCAGACTGGTGCGAAGTAAGCTAAAGGCAATGACATTAGCTGTAGGTGAGTCCTATGGTTATCATCTTTTCTCTGAAAAGTAGAAGCTAGTTTCTTCTCTCCCTTTTTTTTTCCTTTTTTTTTTCTTTTTTTTTTTTCTTTATTGTTATTGTCTGGCACAAAATTTACTTTACAAAAGATAATCATCTGTATCGTAGTTGTCTCTGGTACAAGATTATATTAGTATTCTGAAATAGCAAATTTAGTCCATAAATGTTCTCATGGTAACCTAAAGCAACAAGAACAGCAACAATCCTGCACAGTGTTATGTAACATGTCCAAAGGAGCAAATAAGGTGGTTTTTCTTGTCATTCTCCATCACAACCCCCCAGAACAGGGAGGGAGAGGGGACATGACTGGCTGAGATCTTAAACACCCATATTTCCTGTTCCAGCATACCAACTACATTCTAACAACATGAACAGCTAAAATCCATTTGGAGAATATAGCTCATTTCAGTCAAGTCTTCCACTTACTTGTCCTGCTTTTTGTAGAGTTTTCCCTAGGCTGCACTGTTGGCCATAAAAATGTTTTTCTCTAATCTCTCTTGTCTTGTATATTTGTCTTTTCCTGCCACCCCCATGGTGATGCAGTAGCCAGCAAAACTGCCTTCAGGTTGCATTCCAAGTAAGAGAGTTTAGTTTATTCTTCTTTTCTCTGTAGGTGATGGTGCCAATGATGTCAGTATGATCCAGGTGGCTGACACTGGTGTGGGAATATCGGGCCAAGAAGGCATGCAGGTAGTGTATGCAAAGACAGCTGCAAATGACATCACATTCCATTTTAAATTGGTTCAGAGTTTATGCTGGAGGCCCAGTGGCTCCACAGCCTCATTAGTGAACGCAGGCAAGAGTTTGCAGCCTGAGGTCACACCTAAGCCTTAGCACTCTTCCAGGAGTGCTCAGAAGCTGAATGCTTCAGGGATTCAAACTCCAAACAAAAGAACTTGCTGAGTATCACCAAACTCCCTGTTACTCGTGTCCTGCCAGGAAACAAGCAGCCTAAGCATCAATTATTTCTGTGCAGTTGTATGGTAATAAAGAAGACAGCCACATTACTGCCTATGTTGTTGGGCTGAGCAGTTTGTATTAGTGTAAAACGTTGTATGGAGGGGCTTAGATCTGAGTGAGGGTAAGACTGTAAGCACTATGTATGAAAAAATCATAAAATAAGACTTGCCATCAGCAGGTAAGTTGCTTATTTGGCAGTACCTGAAGCTTATATTTAACATCTTGGAAATGACATATCCTTTCCTTTATGTGCGTTGCAGGCTGTGATGGCAAGTGACTTTGCAGTCACTCAGTTCAGACACCTCAGGAAGCTGCTGCTTGTCCATGGTCATTGGTGTTATACCAGACTTACCAACATGGTGCTTTACTTCTTCTACAAGAATGTGGTATGTGGCAGTCCCATTCCAGGGAAATCACATTTTGCATATTTGAGACCACTGAAGGGTTTAGTGGGGCTTTATATTCTTTTTTATTTTTCTATTGTGAACAGGTTAAAAAAGCATCAAATAATTAATTTTCCAATTTATGTCTGCAGAGACCAGAGACACTTACTCCTTCGACTGAACTTCCTACTCAAGTTGTCTGATTAAACAGCGGGTAATGGGCGTTACTAATGTAGTGGTAGTGTGACTATTTAAACAAGTCATGTCCAAGTTTGAAACGTAAAGCTGTGACAAGTTTGAAATGTGTGCTAGTCAAATATAATCTTGAAGCGTAGGATTGGCATGAACTTCACAGCATTTATAATTATTTTTCCACAGAGTACTTGGAAAGGATCTGACTGTTTTCCTCCTGGCTTTTAAAACCCTTGTCTATGGGTAACATTTTATCATGCTATCTTTGACTTTCCAGGCCTATGTGAACCTCCTGTTCTGGTACCAGTTCTTCTGTGGGTTTTCAGGCACATCAATGACTGACTACTGGATCTTGATTCTTTTCAATCTCCTTTTTACGTCGGTGCCACCTATCATTTATGGTGTCTTGGACAAAGATGTGTCTGCAGAGGTGCTTCTGCAGCTCCCACAACTGTACATGATGAGCCAGAAATCCGTGGTAGGTTAAAGAATGCTTGGTCTGAAGCAAATTGGAGTAGTCAGCATTTGAGCCATTTCTGTCTGTCTTTCCTTCATGGTTCACATCAGGCAAACATGAAGTTTAAAATCACCGTCTCCATTAGAAAAATGTCTAGGCTTGTGCAAATAAAAGAAAAATTGTTTTTTCAAAAGTTTTTGTAGGCTCTTGTCAGCCATATACACCTAATCTTATCACATATTTGATGATAAGAGAAATTAAGGACTTCAGGGGAAGCATTGTACTAGATAAACATTGTTACCAGCTTGTTCAGTTAAATCACTGTCTCGGCTATCAACATTCCTCCTGAAAATGCATTTCTTCTGAGCATCTGGGCTTACTTTCAAAGATAAGGGCACTAGATCCACTTGTTTTCACTGTCATTTAAAGGTCTCAACTACCACAGTAATGAGGCTGGGGGTGCACAAGAAGTTGGGAGGGGGGATGTAGCCGAGGCAGCTGACCCCCACTGACCACAGGGATATCCCTTATCATATAGTGTCATGCTCAGCACGTAAGGCTGGGGGAAGAAGGAAGGGACACACACACACACACATTCGGAGTGATGGTGTTTGTCTTCCCAAGTAACTGTTACTCATGATGCATCCCTGATTTCCTGGAGATGGCTGAACACCTGCCTGCCCATGCGAAGTGATGAATGAATTCCTTGGGTTGCTTCGCTCACATGTGACCTTTGCTTCCCCTATTAAAACTGTCTTTATCTCAACTCAGGAGTTCTCTCACTTTTATTCTTCTGATTTCCTCCTCATCCCATCGTGCAGGGACTGAGCAAGCAGCTGTGTGGGGCTTTGTTGCCAGCTGGGGTTAAACTGTCACAAATACTTAATTAAAATCATATATTTATTATAACAGTTGAAAGCAGTGGCATACTGAGCCTGAGACAGAATAGATAATCGTAACCCAGAGAGAGAGAACACTTGAGCATATGAGTCACCTAAAACTCACCATTTTCTTCATGATCATAGCTTTTCAGTGACAGACTTGACATTAGGAAGCATTTCTTTACAGAGAGAGTGGTCAAACACAGAAACAGGCTTTCTAGAGAGGTGGTTGATGTCCCAGGCCTCTCAGTATTTAAGAGGCATTTGGACAATGCCCTTAATAACATGCTTTAACTTGGTCAGTCCTGAAGTGGTCAGGCAGTTGTAGGTCTCTTCCAAATGAAATGTACTGTGCTGTTCTGTTCTGTTCAATTCTATTCTAACAAATGCTACTAAAAAAATTACCTGTGACATGCAGTTTCATCTGTATAATCTGACAAGTCTAGGTCTGGTTTAGAAGGGAGAAAAAGATACACGGTGAGGGGACAATTTGTTCTGTTTGTTTGTGGACCTTTACACTTCTTTCTGCATATCCTCAAGTTCAAGGCCAGGTTGGACAGAGCCTTGGGCGACATAGTTTAGTGTATGGTTGGAACTAAATGATCTTAAGGTCCTTTCCAACCCTAACTATTCTATGATTCTGTGATTCTATGAAGTACTTTTATGTTGCTAGGTTTATGATATTTTTGCTAAACAAAGTAGTTTTGGTACAAATCTGAGTTCCTGTAGAGTGGCTGAAGCAAATCTGTGCTTTGTCAGTCAGACAGAGTTTTGACTAAGTAAAGGTTACAAGGCCTCAGGATTTGGCCCTTTGGTTTTGTCTTCAGGATACATACAGTGAGCTGAGCTGAAGGTTTTGAGATAGCATAATCACAATTACTGCATTACACAAGTTCCCCCCCCACCTTTTTCCCTTAACTTTTATCAGTTTTTTTCTGTTTTGTCCATCATTGCCTTGCTCTCTGGTTGGAGTTGTTAAGTAGTATATCATATCACTTCTTGCATGGAAGCACAGTGAAATAATTGCTTTTATTAAATGCAGTATAGAAAATCAAGTGCATTATAGAAGAAAGAAATGCTTTAAAAGATGTAGTATCACAGTAATGCACTATGATATCACAAGTGCACAGATCTGTAAAAGCTATAAAAATGGACAGAAACTTGGATTCATGTTCAGTACTTTAAAGCACTTCCCTGACAGACAAATAAGGTAAGTTTCCCACACCACCTCCAGAGAACAGTTCAGTTCTTGAAAGAGCTGCATTGCTTTTTGGAGAAACCCATCTCTCTCCACTACTTGTAGAGGAAGTCCTGGGTGACTAGGCTGCTCACCTATGTGTGTCAATTTGGGTCCTGAAGGAATGGGATTTATCTGAGCTAGGGCAGATGCAACTGTGGTTTTATAAGCGGTTGAGCTGTCATAGCAGTTTGCTGCCACTGAGGAAGGCTCGTTCATTCTCCTCTTCCCCCTTCTTTTCTTCCCATTCCCTGTTTTCACCCACATAGTTAAACTACATTCCTTGTGCCAGCTTGATTGTCCCATCAGATCTCCGAGGAGCTGATTTAGCTCACCAAAACAGCAATGTGTTATTCCAGCAGAAAAGCAAATTGGTTTTAACATTCCAGTGAGTTAGGTTAGCTCAGAGGAATCCAGTCTGCACAGAAGAGTAACCCAGCACAAATTAAGACGCAGAAGCACATGTACCGGAAAAGGGGTAAAGATAGAAGAAAGTGGGATTTGGTGTTCAGTGATGGTAGGGTAATTCACTGTACCCTGTCCTACCTGCGTTAGTACTCAGGTAAAGGCTCTGGTAGGTCTGTTCTGGCAGAAAGAGCTCTAAGATCAGAGTTCCTAGGTCTGGCTGTTGATTTAAATACTAACAGTTAGCTACTTGTGTGGAGTGAGATCTTTATTCTTATTACCGTAACACAGAAGATTCTTCTTCACTGAGAAACTAGCTGGAGTTACTTCTGAAGATATTCTTTCCCCAGATCCAAATTAATGCTAATTAAGGATGCAGCAATTTGTTCAATTTGTTTATCTGCCATTATCTGTTTTTCTTACAGGCTTACTTGCCTTCAACATTCTGGATAACCTTGCTGGATGCTTTTTACCAAAGTATTGTTTGCTTTTTTGTGCCTTACTTTGTAAGTGTTGGATATGAAACACATTTATCCATTTTGACATACTAAAGCCCCAGACAAACTAGAGAATAAAATTGTTTGATTTTAATTCTTAATATACAACTGTGTACTAACAGGATCATCAATGGAGCTGAGCTGAACTGCTGACAGAGGGGAGATTTAGATTAGATATTAGGAAAAAAATTCTTCATTGTGAGGGTGGTGAGACACTGCCACAGGTTGCCCAGAGATACTGTGGCTGCCCCATCCCTGGAAGTGTCCAAGGTCGGGTTGGACGGGGCTTTGAGCAACCTGCTCTAGTGAGAGATGTCCCTGCCCATGGCAGGGGGATTGGAACTAGGTGATCCTTAAGGTCTTTTCCAACCCAAACCATATGATTGTGTGATATTGAAAGTATTCATGCCACTTTATGTATTAGGACTATATGTAAAGAATGTATTATGCTGACCACTGTCTTCCTTTATAGACTTACTATGGCTCAGACATAGACATTTTTTCTTTTGGAAACCCTATAAACACAGCAGCGCTCTTCATAATACTGTTTCACCTTCTCATTGAATGCAAATCTGTGGTAAGTACTTTGTTTCCAAAAGAGTATATTCCTAACAGAGAACATGTATATAGTTTTCATTAAAACTAAACAGAAGAGCTTCATATACAAAGCAGAATAACTATAAAAGTGCCAAAACCTAAACCAAACATTGCATATATGTGACCATGTGAGCTCTCCTAATGCATCTGCCATTGGAGCCAATAGAATTACTCATATGACTAAAATTAAGAAAATTTGGCCTAGAATTATTTGTAAATAGTGAAAAGATCCTGCATTGTTAGGGTACAGTGATTTTGGAGGTGTCAGTTTTGCAAATGGTAAAACCAGCCAGTGGTCTGCTGAGCCTTCATTAGTTCCCAAAGCTTGCATCTCAGTGTGAACTGTTGATACTGAATACTTGGAAGTGAAGATCTGCTCTGTAGCCAGGTTAAACAATTCAAAGGTTTTACAGTCCATTAATATTTAGGATATAGATTAATGGGGTTTATTTTTTCTCTGTAGGAGTTTAGAGATAGAGATATATATATATATGTATTTTAAGATTGTTTCAGAATGGATGAAATTTCAAGTTGGGATTCAGTCTTTCCATTGTTCTTTTGGGAGCATGGCAGCAGTGATGAAATGTCTTTATTGAGACTATATGGGTAGCATGAGTGTATCCACTAGAAATAGAATAGAAACACAGTACTTACTTAAATGAGTTTTATTTGGCATTTTTGAATATTGGCAAGCTGTCAGACCAATGACAGTGTTGGTTCCATAGGAACTATTATAGCAGTTTAGGTATAAAATTGCAGAAAACTCAGATGTAGAGCTGATCAGTGTCTCAAGCAGGATGATAGAAGGGTGATGTCATGTCATGGAAGATCTCACCTCCATTTGCTGGAGAAGGCTTTCTCTGCTGCCAGTGGATGAGGGGGTCATCTAAGGCAGATGGCACAAAAAATGTCTTTCCCAAAAGAATCAAAAGCTATGTGTGTAATAGAATTAAAAAAACGTAAATGTCAGGGTCACAGATACGCTGTAGGAAGAAGGCTCCATTCTTCCTGGACTGTTTAAATAAAATTTGGATTTTCACCTGAACAGATCTGTTCTCTGTTACATTAAGCAGCTATCCTTGGAGGAAGAATATGTGCTTGTTCATGTATGCATGTGTACATGCTAATATGCGTTACAGGTCTTTCCGTTTGCAGTTTAAATCTGATTTCGTTCCTTTTCTGAATTGCAGACGTGGATACATACAGTAGTTATAGTTGGCAGCATTCTGTTTTACTTTGTCTTCACTCTGGCCTTCGGGGCAACCTGCAAAACTCACAATCCATCATCAAATCCTTACTGGGTCATGGAAAAGCACATGACAGACCCAGTATTTTACTTAGTTTGCCTCCTGACTACTTGTGTTGCTCTGCTACCAAGGTGCGTTTCTGTTTTATAATTGCAGATTGCTATATTGGAAGCATGAATTTGATGCCTTTTGTCCTGGGCCCTGACACTATATGCAGAAAGCTCCACTTCCAGCGTAGTTGGTACCCCAGCCCTTCACTGAAGTTGCAAGTGCTCAGTGCTGCAGTAACTGGTCTGTAGGAGAACAGTGTTCAGGACAGAACAATGGAAGCAGCTGAGATCAGTACCTGTCTATAAAAATGCCACTTTTCAGATATGTTCTAGTGCAGTTGCTGGCCTTATAGTTTATGTTCACAAAACAGCACCTGCTAAAAACTGTTCCAGAGGCTACTGCAGCCTCCTGGTTGCTTGAACGGTGTTTGATTTTCTTCAGTGTTGTTGGAAACTGGTTTGAGTGTGCTTCTAAATAGTTTATTTGAAACTGTGTTTATTTTGTAGATATTTGCTGAGAGTTCTCCAAGGAACATTGTTTCCATCTCCAGTGTTGAGAGCAAAGCACCTTGACAGACTGACCCCAGAGGAGCAGAGGGAAGCAATTAAGAGATGGAGAGATGACTGCGTTGTAAACTGTAGAGTGGAGCTCCAGGCTACTTCTGGGTCTTCCAGCTCAGCCACAGGTGCTGCATCAGAGGAAGAAAGCATTGCCAGCGTTTTGCCAACATCTAAAACACCTTTACAGGCCTGTTCAAGAGATGGGTTAGTACAGGACACCTCCTTCTTACCAGACATTCAGGACGAGTCCAGGAACACAGATGGCTTGAATTCTGAAAAGACGTAATTCCTGAATTCATCAAAGGAAACTAATTCAGACTCATTTTGTGGTAATAACTCATGTGCCAAAGTCTCTGTGTGTGCTTCTGAAGGGGGCAGCAGTGCTGTTTCTGTAGCATAAAGCAGGATTGAATTCTTGTGTGAAGAAGTTGCTTCAATGTATTTTACAAAGTTGGAATGCTACCTGTTTTAAAACCCAGGAGTAATAACTGCTGATTTATGCGACGTTGTGGTTTTGTTTTCTTCAGCCAAAATAGATGATGCACACATTTCCTTAAAAGCTTTTTTGCTTATGAAGATTTTCTATAATTTATTAAGATGTTCAAGATCTAAGTGACTGGGTTGCTTTTTATATTTTTTCACTCAATAGACCTTGCGTACTGCTTATTTCTTGTATGCAGCATTGCACAATACCTCGTGGTGTTACGGACAGGATGTTACATGAATATGGATTTGCAGGCAGGCCAACCTGCTCCCTTACACTGCTAGCCTGCAATCGTAGCATTCCCTGGGACTCACCGCTGTACATATGTATGATGTAAACAGAAGGGCTGGGATGTAGAGTTACTGGTTGGCTTGTTGAAAGACTCCTGCAGTATGTGTATACAGTAATTGTTTTAACCATTGAGGTCCAGTTTGTTCTCCAGGCTATTGCACGGGCCATCTCAGTGCTGGCCAGACACAATTTTAACCATCAGAAGAGCAACCCAGATGAGGCATATGTGTCATGCGCCTCCCTCACCTTCCTCTTCCACAAAAAAACCCAAATCCTAGTGTGACCTTTTGTTCTCTGTGGCAGTTCGTACTTCTGCTGCATCCCTCCTTTTATCTCCATGTGCCATTTCATATCATTTGCCACTGACTAGACTTCTTATCCGCCTCATCCAGCTCAGTTACTGGTTGCCTGACTTTCCTCTAAACTCTGCCTCTTGCCCACACTGCTCAACTGTCTGCCAGCAGTGAGTAGCTCCAGTCTGCTTTCAGGTCTTCTCCTAGAAATAGCCACTTCTAGCTGATGACATTACTCTTCTTCACTCTCAGGTGTTTTTACATTCCTCCAGGCTTTTATAATACACAGCTGACGTATCTCTAGAGGCTGTTAGGAGGAAGGAACAAGCCATTACATGTCCCCAGTTTGAGCTCTGTTGCTCATCTCTTTTGGAGATGTCCTGCCCCACTGGTTCCCACTGCTCTGCACACTGCACAAGAGCTGGCTGAGGTGCATGTGGAGTCTGGATTCCAGATTAACGTATTGCCTCCTTTTTACTCCCTCCCCAAAAAGTTACATGGCCAATTTATGGAGGAACTTAGGAAATTGTTTATATCTACTAGCACCTGTTGAAATAAAGTTTCCTCAAACTATAGCGGCTAATGAATTCTTAGTACTGAGCCCATTTTTTGGTTCTGTTCATTCTAAAACTTTTTGCTTTTAAACTGCCAAGATTTGTGTGTTTATTTTTAGGCACCGTGTTTGGGGCAAGGGCTCTGCTTTTTAATTGAACCATGAGCTTTCCATGTAAATGATCAATGTTACATATCCCACATCTTTTAAGATCTCTGAAAGAATTTAAACAAACGCTGTGAGGTCTGAGACAGCTGCTGCTATGCAGGGCAGATACTGGGGGCATGCTAAGTTCATTCCAATGAAGGTCACCACATGTTACCAAAAGTTGAAAACGGTTCTGTTTTCAAAAGGTAGAGTGTAATTAGGGCTGAGTCCATCCCTAGTGTTAGTGAACAGAAAAATACCCTTTTGTTTAGCCTGTAGAAGAAAAACAGTGAAAGGAGCCAGTGATTACAGCCATTTCTGCAAATGTATATATATATTTTTATTTAATTTGGTTCAACATATGACAAAATATTTTTTGTAACATGTAGCAGAAGGTTAGTGGGGACCTTTGAAGTGGTGGCAGACATTCAATCCTAAGAGATCATGTGGAGCATGTTGGTTTGCAGTTATGATTTTCAAACGTTTGTCCATAGCCTCTTTCTTGCCATTGGGGGCACCGTGCCAGAAGTGGACTCCAGGTGTCCCAAGTGAAACATCTTGGCTTGCTCTGCAAGCCACGGGGACTTGTGAGGTGTCCAAGAGGAAGACGCAAAACGGCCAGCAGGTTGTGCACGGAAATAAGATGGTAAAGGGCAGAACTGTACAGACACATACTCGGTGAAGTCATGTGCTCTGCTCCACAGCCCCACTCAGGCTCAGCTCTACTCTTATTGTTCCCAGCAGATGTTCTGTTGTAAAGAGCTCCAGAGAAGCAGGCCAGGCCAGTGCTCTCCTGCCCTCAAAGTCAAATACTGGTTTTGTTCCTGTTGCCTCACCTGCATGTTTCTTTTGTGCCTTAAATCTACGGGCTTTTTTCACCTGTCGCCACAGAGAGGAGGTTATTCTGTTCTATGGTTCTTCAAGTCTGTGACTGAGGCACTCTGAGCTCTTAGGAGCTCTGGGACTTGCAGTGAGCTGAGGGAGTGCAGGGCTCCACTTCTGCCCCTCCTGGCACTGTAAAAAGGCATTCGGGGGACAACACTGTCCTGTGACTGGGCTCTGCTGCAGGAGCAGAACCTACCAGCAGATTTGGCAGGTAGCTGATTGTTTAGCTTCAGGAGGTCACATGCGTGTCACACAAAAGCTGTAAGCATTGCAAGTACCATCTTCCAGAATCCTCTGTGACTGTAAGCCATGGCATCAAAATATGTGTCCCAGGAAACGAGTGGCAGTCACCTGTTGGACATAGGGCTGGCTGCAGGATGCCTCTGAGACACTTGGATTGCTAATTCTGTGGCTTCTACAAGCCTAGTCACCCACTGCTCACTGCTTGATGTTGTGGAGCTTTTGGGATGGGTTCTGGAATTGATGGATGATTTCATCTGGGTGTCGTATGTGCCAGACCCTGCAGGTTGCCTTGAAACTTCAGGTCCTTTTAGAAGTTCTGTGCTGAGGTTATAAGTAAGTACTGTGGTATCACTTGAAGTAGTACAAGGTAACATGCAGACATTCTGGTTTTTTCTATGTATGTGTGTTGTTTGACTGATGGTGCGTGTTGTTTAAAATTGTCTGCTATAGGCTGTGTTCTTTTAGAGGACTTTGACAAGCAGTCTAAGTGCTGACATTATCTACTGCATAAAACCCAGTCTTTTTCTCCTTTTTGTGTGGACAAACAGCAGAAATCTCTAAGGGCTGTGTGCTGTGACCACTTGCTGTTTTTCACTGAAGGGGAGATGCGGGTAGTGTCTGTAATAAAAGCTTCACGATGGTTAACTGACCATATCCAAAGTGCCAAATGAAGGGTGCAGGCGGATCGCTCTTCCTTTGCTTCTAAGCAGCTGAATGTTGTTTCTTTTATTTCTTTTCAGCACGGGAGACACCAGGCTCCCCTGCTGGCTTCTGCACTTCAGCACAGCATGGCTTGACTTTTCCATTTTGAAAACAGGCTTTTTAAGATCGTCTCACAGATACCTTCCAGATGTGAAAGCACAGCATTTACACTTTTGATTGTCAGCTTAAAACAAACCAAAACAACCACCTTCAACTCTGCCAGACTTCGTAGCTACACCTAGAGCAGCTTTAACTCATTTTTTGATGTGCAGATTGATTTACAGAATGTTTTTTTACTATTTTTTTTTTTTTTCACAGCAGCCACATTATTTGCAGGTGGTGGGAAGCCACCACCTTTATAGAGCAAGTGTGTTTTTGCAGCACAGTGAGCTTTGGCCTGTACCTGGGGCAAACACGGAGCTGAATGTTTAACCCAAGCTGTGTTTTTCCCCTCAGCCCCAAGGGCCAAGCATAGATCTGAGGACCCGCCAGTCTGGAGCAGCCACTGCTCCTGCTGGACCTGGCTCTGCCACAGGCCAGGCCAGCCCAGCCCTGCTCTTTGCAGAGGCCATTGGCCAAGTTCTGACTGTGACAGTGTCAAGAACAGTCTCATGGTTGAATTTCAGTATGGGTTTTGTATTATTTGTTCCTGGCTGATTCTGGTTATGTTACTCTTTCTTACCCTCCTGGTCCCGAATACCTTACTGTTGACTGCAGTGAAAAGGCAAATTTTAACTACTTTAAGTTTCTGCATGCTTAGTACTTTGATTTCAGCATGTGCCCTTGAAATGCTGGATCCCGGTTAAAAGGAGATGGTTATTTCAAACTAACTGTATTCCTGAGGAAAGCCATAGAACAAAATGTGTTCAGAGAAATTTGACTGCAGCTTTAGTTTTATTTTATATTTTTTCAATCCAGAGTAGTTGTTGGCAGCAGTGTTGTTGGTAATGTTCTGTATTAGAAGCATACACGCAGAAGAAACTAGAAGTTGTAGTGTTGGTAGTGCCATAATCTCCACAAGGGTTGTAGTGCCAATAGGGCTGTCAGGGCTGCTTAAAAAAGCTAGGTAAGCACATACAAATAACTTTTAAAGACTATATTTAGGCACTATTGCTAAAGTTGTAACTAACTTCACACCTCCATATGGTTGTTGAGTCTCTCGAGATTAAAACACACTTTCAACAGAGAAGGTTTTTGGAAAATTACTGTAAATTTTTATTAGTACAGCTAGAAAAAAAACCACGTCTGCTTGACTGTGTGACATTGCTGTGGTAGAAGTAAAGCCACCAATTGTTACCTTACAGTGAGGCTACACTTAGAAACAGCATAGTTGTGATGACAGCTGTCAAGTCAGCACACAGGGAAGGGCTTGGTAAGGTGGAAGGAGGGCTATGTTTGCCTATCTATCTTGTGTGTACACATAAAAAAGCAGTATAAAAATACATTTATAAAATTACAAATTTCTTCTTTACATGGAATGTTGTGTCAGAGACAGTTGTGGGAAGGACAAGACCCAACTGCGCCCTTCTAAAGCCATTTGGGATGGGTCTTCAGACTGCTGCCTTACAGGAGGGAGCTGGACCATAGGTGTAAGCAGGACTCTCCCTCATTTCCTGAGAGGGACTGCTTGGAAACTGGTGGCAGGCCAAACCCAGTCAATAAAAAATGTTTAATTACACATTATCATTTGGTAGCACTCATGTCTATGTGAAATGATGAGATGTATTCAGTGTTTTACAGAATTCAAAGCTGCTATCCACGTCATCTGGTGGAGAGCTGTCAGGCTGGGCTGTCCATTTCAC